ACCGGGTTCACAACAGCTCTCGGGGCAGTCATCCAGCTGCCATGAGGAGCCCGTGCCCGCACTGGGCAGGCAGACGTTGCTGCCGCAGTTCACATCACTGGAGGAGACGGAGACGGCTGAGGAGGTGGGAACACAGGGCCCAGAGAAGCAGGTGTCTGCCATGGTGGGAGTAGCCGTGCTGGGTGCCTGGGGCAGCAAAGAGTGTGAGAGGGGTGTCAGTGAGGTGCTGAGTGCCTGATGCAGGGAGTGCTTGAGCCTGTCTGGGATTGTGCTTGTGGGTGTGGATCTGTGAGTGTGTGTGTGAGTTTGTGAGTGTGGATGTGGGTCTGTGAGTGTGGGTGTGAGTGGAGCTGTGGGGCTGTGTGTGAAGGGAGTGTAGTCTGGTGGGCTTTTATATCCCTGCTGCAGGAGGATGTGCCGAGGGGAGACTGAGCCTTCTTCCCTGTTGTTGTTTATAGCTGGCTGCTTCCCGCAGAGCCCATCATTAGGTGATGGTGACATTTTCCAGAGGATGGCCAGCCACCCATAAACATCCTCAATTTGGTTTCCATTTCCACCCTTTAGTAAACATCTATGGATCCCCTTCTCCTAGCCTGACACAGGGCTAAGTCCTGAGCATCCAGTGACAGAAGGGAAAGTTGGTGGGCTGAGGGTCCCTTGAGCAGAGACAAGCCCCTGGGGGGCTACATCGGGAGGGGAGAGCATTGAGAGACATGATCAGGCAGGCTTCTTGTACAATGTCCAAGCCGAGGATGTCTGGAGGTAGGTGGGAAGATGTGGGAGCAGCCTTCTGAGCCTTCACAGCAGCTTGGGGAGACAGGGCGGTGTGTGTTGGGAGACCAGAAGGCGCACCTGGCCCAATGTACCATTGACACAAAGGAGTGTTGTCCAAGACATCTAGAGCGCGAAGGAAGAGCTTGGGCAGGGCTGTGAATGGCCAACAGCATAGTCGTTTGTATTTTGTTTGATGGCAGATACTTGGGGCATAAAGTGACCAGGTCAGACCTGGGTCTTCAGGACATCACTGAGGCAGCGTCCAGAGTGGAGGCACTAAACATATGGCTCCCAACAGTGTCAAGGGCAGCAGAACCAGATTAAAACGTATTGGATGATACCTAACAATGTGAATAAAAATATGGCTGGACAATGACAAAGTCCGCTGTTTAACACCAGCTGATATTCAATCCACAGGGATGCTCATGTAGTGGTTCGTGGTCCCCATTTCTTTTTGCATATGAAATCTCTGATCTAGAGGATGGATTGGAAAGAGGAAAGACTGGAGAGCACTTATTAGGGCTACTTCACTCTTCTGGTGATTGTAATGAAGTCTGTACGTAGGCTAGTAGAAATATGGCTATAGAGATATAAACTGGAAAGAGCGTGTGAGTGTGAGAGAGAAATAGAGAGAGACCAAGACAAAGAGAGACAGAGAGAGACAGGGAGAGACAGAGTGAGAGAAAGAGACAGAGACAGAGACATAGAGACATAGAAACATATAGAATTGGAGATAGAGACACAGAGAGATAGAAACTGGGGGAAATAGGAAGATTGATAGAGACAGAGAGATACATTGACAGAGAGATGAAGACAGAGGGGGCAAAGAGAGAGGGAGGNNTGGGAGGGAGAAAAGACAGAGACAGAGAAAGAGAATCAGAATTAACAGCTAACCTCCTAGAAGAGGCCGGAGATGGGGTCGCAGCCACAAGTAGGACAATTGTTCCAGGAAAGCAGAGCTTCCCATTCTCGGTCTCCCCAGTCCCAGGGAGGAGAGTGGATGCTGCAGCGGGTGTTTGGGGGTTAGCAGAGGAGGGAAAGAGGGAGCCCCAAGGCACAGCCTGTTTTCTGTGGCAAAGAGGAGGCAAGGTTTTCTCCTCAGAGGGAGG